ACTGTCTTCGATCATCGTCCCCGGTATCAAGGCCGACATGTACACCTGAAAAGCATAGGACAATGGTGAATTCGATAACCAAGATCAAATCTACCCTTCCACCGCAGGTCAAGTGAAAGGGCGACGACGACAGGCGAGCGAGCAAAAGACGGGCGCGCGGGCGGTCCCCGAGGGACGCTCCCCGCCGCGTCTCCACGGGGCATTCAAAAGCTAGCCTATCGCCCCTCCCCGGGGTACTCATCGAAAAAGGCACGCGTCCCCGGGGCATTCATCGGAGAAAACACCCGTCCCCGGGGAATTCACCGGAACAACCGAACCTCCCTGAGGCATTCATCCAAACAAACCTAAAAGGAACCGCCAGACACGGCGGATACTCGTGCCTCTCCTCGGGGCATTCATCGCGCCCCGACCATGGACCCAAATCAAACGGCGGAAATAAAAGAAGAGAAGAAGGAAACTCACTTGTGACGGCGATGAACGAGGTGCAAAACTAACGGCGCGGCGACGATTCACAACAACGGCGGACGGGGAGGAGTCACAGAACTTCGCAGGTAAGAAAGCAATGTGAAAAGTAAAAAAATGCGCGGGGACCCCCATATTTATAACCCGGCGCAGAACTCGAAGCGACACTAGGCCTTTGAGTATCCTAGGGTAGCATCGCTACTACCCACTCAGCGCGTGACACGTGGCGGTAACCTGACGGTCGCGTCCCTTCAAGTACCTTTGCCCCGCTCTCCCGACGACAAGAAGACCTTCGTGCGTGCACGCGTCCCGTCGGACACAAGACCGACGAGCCACCCGCCTCGCTACCTCTTTTCCCGAAGCAACAACCTTAAGTCCTCGCTCTTTCGCCACAGAGCTTCGACTTGGGGGGCTCCTGTTCTGGTTTGGGCCCAGCCTCGCGGTCCAGCCCAATAACGCACAAGGCCCAATAAGTGGAATAGCTTGACCGGGCACACACCCCCACCGGACGGGCAGGATACGCTCCCTGCCAAGCGGGACGGCGCGCCTCGAAGCGTCATCGGCGCTCCCCTTAGCCGGACCGAACAACTTTCTCGGGCAGAATCCCCTTGCCAACGGGCATGGCGATTCGTCTTCTCCGCTCTTGTGTGCCTTCCCCCCGGGAGAGCCACACACCGCCCGGGAATCCCACGAGCTCCCCTCAGCGGGGAGAACCTCGTGCTCTCAGGGAGTCCCACGGCCTCCCCTCCGCGGGAAGAACAACGTGCCTTGTGCACGGTCTCCACGTGCTCCCCTCCGCGGGGACACGTCACCAACCAACTGCCCACCTCCGAAAGAGCAGGTCAAACCCACTTTCCGGAGACCACGGGACAGTTGGACTAGGGCGAAGACCACGTCCTGGTCTTCACTACGCCACGTAAGCCCTAACAGTCACCTGAGTTGGGCCTGGTCATCCAGCCCAACACAAGTGACCGTTGGCCCAACGCTGGGGTCTCTCTATAAATACCCTCTTCCTCAAGAGGGTCAGGTATTCACTTCTTACCCCTTTTTCTGTACTTAGCCTTCACTCTGCCCAATTCCTTATTTTGGCATCAGAGTGTCTTGCAGGTACACCCCTCCTCAGGTCAGATCAACTCTGATTTATCTTTTCAAAAATCGGAAAATGCATACATCCCAATTATCTGAAAAAATCGGAAAATGGATACATCCCAATTATCTGAAATGAGTCAACTCATTTTCAAATATGAACGGAGTCTTAATCGTATGGACGTTTTATTATCAAGTTTATCGAAAAAGTTAACTGAAATTTGAGCTCTTAAGAGCATTAGACAGAGACTTCTCATGTAGAAGACAACAAAGGGAGCGCTGACCCACTTTATAAGTTTTTATATTCCGATTGGAGGCCCACGAAAGGAACCTGGAAGAATTGGCGAAGATAGAAATGAAGAAGACTGTCACTTGAAACGAGCTTTGGAACTTTAAGAAAATAGAAGAAGGTTAATGTCTGGGTTGGATGTGAATATATCAATATAAATAATATATATATTTTTTTTACCGTTTTTTTGAATGTATATATATCAATAACTCACAAATTATATTGACTTTTGACTATATGCAACTTAAATAATTCTCTTCAATAATCACAATATTATCATCCAATATGAATGAATTTGAAATAAATATGAAATACATGTTTAAAATACATATTTGAATTTGAAATAAATATGAAATACAATATTATCATCAAATTTGGAGTTTTTTTTTAAGTTTTTTTTTAAGTTATAAACACATTTTGATTGTTTAATTTAATTTACTCCTCAATAAATATATGGAGTAAGATCAAGACCATGTTAAAATGACTTATTACTCCTTGTTGAAAATGTGAAACACAAAACAACTTTCATTTTTTTTGTTAAAAAAACAGCAACTTTCATTTCCTTATCCGCTATCTCTTTTGTTTATCTGTTGTATTGTAGGTTGTAGCTTTTGGGACAAAGCATTTTTTTAATTACGATGAAAAATAATGAAGATGATGAAGTTGTAAACAAATTGTTACGGTTCTTACGAAAAGTAAGAATATTGTAATATTTGTGTAAAAGGAATTAGCTGTAATTGATTTTACATGTTCTCATTTTAATTATATTAAATCTAAACCGGTTATTGTTTGGGGTTTCACTGGTGAGGGACAACCCTCACCCTAGACTTAACCATTTGAGTAGTTTTTACTTTAATGATGATTGTCTATAAGAAACCAAAACTTGACCCCACATTTTATATTTTTTATTCAAGTTACCATTAATTTAATTATTTTAATTAAAATGCATACAATTTTTTAATAAAATTTACCTTAAAAACTTAGAAATAATATTAAACATATTTTATTATAAAATTAAAAATGATACAAAATTCACAACAATAATACATAAAAAAATTATATTTTCATAAGAATATAAAATAATACATGACAATAAAGAGTACCATATGACCCTCATGATTTAACTTCATGATGTTTTCTCTTCAATACACACAAAGTAGAGTATGATTTAACTATAAGTCTCATGATTTCTCCACCATACACACAACTCATGAAGAGTACCATATGACCTTTGTGATTTAACTTTAACCCTCATGTTTTCTCTTCAATACACACAACATAGAGTATCATAGAAACCTCATGATTTAACTTTAAATCTCATGATTTTTCTTCAATAAATCCTATAATTGTGAAAACAACATAAAAGACTCAATTTGGTAGTAGATATATTGAACCAAATGTCTCATTTGTTTATATAAAACCACCCCAAACTTTGAAGTTGAAATTTTTATGTTTATTTGCGTATTTTTTCACTTTTAAAGTTCACTTTGATTTAAAGATTTCTTAAGTTATAAGTTAAGGTATTTTCAAGTATATGCATGTCGTTTAAAGTTTTATGTTTTTAAATCAAAGTTTTAAAAATTCTTGTTAGTATTAGTTTGTTTGGTCATGGTTGATTTATTTTGTGTTTGAATTGGCGTGTACATAATTGATTTTGATAAAATTGAGTTTAGTAGAATTGATTTTAATAAATTTAAGTTTAATAAAATGTGTGTATGTTCTAAATAATATTATAATATTTTTCCATTGAATATTTAACGTTAACTATATAGACAATAGAAACTAAACTTTAGTTCATTATATGCCATGTCAGCTCTACAAAACTATAAAAAAAAAAAAATTATTAATATTGATATATACGCATTAAAAAAACTGTAAAAAAAAAAGAAATATTATTAATATTAATATATACACCTTACTCCATTTTCTCCTCTAGAATATAGGACAATTAATTTAGTGATCCAACTCAAGCATTAACCTTCTTCTATTTTCTTGAAGTTCTAAAAGCTAGTTGATCCAACCCAAACATTAACCTTCTTCTATTTTCTTGAAGTTCTAAAAGCTAGTTTGAAGTGAAGAATTTTTTTTATTTCTATCTTCGCCAATTCTTCCCGGTTCCATTCGTGGGCCTCCAATTCAGAATATAAAAACTCATAAGATGGGGCAGGTCTTCCTCCATGAGAAGTCTCTGTCTAATGTTCTTCATTGTCTTCTTCCATGAGAAGTCTCTGCCTAATACTCTTAACAGCTTTAATTTCAGTTAACTTTTTCGATAAACTTGATAATAAAACGTCCATACGATCAAGACTCCGTCCATATTTGAACGGAGTATATGGACGTTTTATTATCAACGTTATCGAAAAAGTTAACTGAAATTGGAGCTCTTAAGAACAACGAAGAATATTAGGCAGAGACTTCAGAAGACAACGAAGAACATCAGGCAAAGACTTCTCATGGAGAATGGAGGAAGACAACGCTGTCTCATCTTATGAGTTTTTATATTCTGAATTGGAGGCCCACGAATGGAACCTGGAAGAATTGACGAAGATAGAAATAAAAAAAATTTCTCACTTCAAACTAGCTTTTGTAACTTCAAGAAAATAGAAGAGGGTTAATGTCTGGGTTGGATCACTAAACTAATTGTCCTATATTATAGAGGAGAATATAGAGTAACGTGTATACATTAGTATTAATAATATATATTTTTTTTTTACAATTTTTTTAAATGTGTATATATCAATATTAATAATATTTCTTTTTTTTTTTACCGTTTTTTTGAATGTGTATATATCAATAACTCACCAATTATATTGACTTTTGACTATATGCAACTTAAATAATTCTCTTCAATAATCACGGTATTATCATCCAATATGAATGAATTTGAAATAAATATAAAATACATATTTTAAAGATGAAATTATAACATTCATATTCTTGATCAAATTTGGAGTTTTTTTAAAGTTATAAACACATTTTGATTGTTTAATTTTATTTACTCCTCAATAAATATGGAGTAAGATCAAGACCATGTCAAAATGACTTATTACTCCTTGTTGAAAATCTGAAACACAAAACAACTTTCATTTTTTGTAAAAAAAAAGCAACTTTTATTTCCCTATCCGCTATCTCTTTATTCCACCCATCCGTCGTTCACCTCACCATGGCGGTTTCACCTTACGCCGCCGTTTCAACCCCTCGCGTTTGTTCTCCGCCTAGGTCAAAATCTGCCTCTTCTATCCCTTTCTGTAAATTATTCAATTCAATTTCAACTAATTCTCACCATGTTTTCGCTTTTTCCACTGCAGTGTTTCCACTAAAATCTACTCTGGATTGAAACACCAATCTTCACGTGTGCCCATTTCTTTCTTTCTCTTATTCAATTTTACCCCTTTCTTTCGTTTTTCGCTAACTATTTTCAATTGCAGGTTCTCTTGGAGCGTCTTCAGTTTCATCTAACGTAAATGCTCAGTTTTTCGGTAAAGTTAACAAAGTTCTCAATTTCCGGTAATTCTCAGATACCCTAAATCTGAAAACACTGTTTTACTTCAATACACTAGAAGGGTTTTTACAAAAGCTATATTTCATTGTATAAAAAGATTGATGCAAAGTGTCAAAATTTTCATGTTTTCAGGTATGCTAACCAGAAACCAGTTAGGGCACAATTTCATATGATGCCCATTGGAACTCCTAGAGTACGCTATAAGACACCCGGTGAAGGAACTTATCAATGGATTGATTTATGGAATGCCCTTGTAAGTTGTTATATCTGAAGGTATTTATTATTAGGCAATCGTCATAGACTATGAAACATGGATACCAAAAACACGTCGACACAAACACATTTTTTCAAAGGTGTTGGTGCTATAGTGGTAATAGACTAACTATCTAAGAGATATTGGTTGACTTTGTCACATACTCATGGATCTCATATAAACATCAAATTTTTTTTGATTAAGTTAATTTCTAAAAAGAACATTATTTGATGCAGTATCGAGAACGTATTATCTTCATTGCAAAAGACATAAATGAAGAATTCAGTAATCAAATATTGGCAACTTTGCTGTATCTTGACAGTATAGATAACACCAAGCTTCTCTATTTGTACATTAATGGTCCTGGTGGGGATGTAAGTAATGATTCTAGTGTTAGGAGATCAACAATTAGATCCTTTTGTTTCTTTCTTCATGTTCCTTTTGACTAACAGGTATTTAACTCACTTAAAATTTCATCATTTTCAGCTTACACCATGCATGGCTCTCTATGATACCATGCAGAGCTTGCAGACTCCTATAGCCACTCATTGTGTTGGCCAAGCTTATAATCTTTCAACATATCTTCTTGCAGCTGGAGTGAAGGTGTTGTATTATCCTACTGTCTATTAATACAACTTGTCATAGTACGGAGATTTATGGTTAGAGATTTTGTGTTCTTAATATAATTAAAGATTATCTATGTTAAGGAGTTGTATAGTTAGAGATTTACATTCTTAATATAATTAGAGATGACATATGTTGAATAGACTTGGTACTTACCTACAGAAGTAATCTTTTTGTACTATACACAAATACGATAAAGGATTATGATTGACATTTATAAACATTTAAAATGAAATGCATTGTATCATTATATACAACCTTAAAAGAAGAAAATAGGTTTTTTCACAGCTTCTGTTGCTAATGGTGAGTGCCTCACATGTATTATATGTATAGCACAATCTTAACTTCATGAATGATCATATTATCAGCAATAGCTATTGTGAATTGCATGTTAAAATGAAAAAGTTGGGAGGACAGTAATAAAAGTTGTACTACTTTTTCATTCAATAATTTCAATTTCTATCACAATCCTACTGGCAATCTTCAATCTTATACTCCATTCTGCTTTGTTGTCGCATTTATGTCAAATTGGTTTTTTTACTACTTGTGCCTTGCGCTTGTTGTGTTGAGTCCATTGGCATCTCTAATGTTATGAAAATAGTCCTGATGATCCATTAATCTTTTGCAATGTTCTGTTGTATTGAAGGGACATCGTACTGCAATGCCTCTATCAAGAATTGCTCTCCAATCTCCAGCAGGATCTGCTCGTGGTCGGGTATATCTGTCTTTTGTCTGAGATTGATGTCATCAGTAGTAATACCTTGTTTATGTATGAATGAGCTGCTTTTAGTTTTGATGCTAACACCATAAAAACTCTTTCAGGCTGATGATATTCGAAATGAAGCAGATGAACTTCTTAGAATCAGAGATTACCTTTTCAACGAGTTAGCAAACAAAACAGGCCAGCCTGTTGAGAAGGTCAGTTCCCTTTACAATGCGTGGAACTCATGGAGATAAATTAGTATTTGTAACTTCTGTTATGATTTGTATATCACGACCCTATAATTGTTTGACCTTTGAACTTACTCACTGCAAGTCAAAAAAGAAGTTCTCGAAAAAATCATTAGATTTTCTTTGCAGATGAAGTCAAATTCAACAGACACACTGGAAGGATATTTTTGTTCAACCTTGTGTTATCTAAGCCTCTTATTGTGTATCTTAGTTCCTTCTTTCCTAGATGTTTATGTTGAAATTTTATTGGCTGGTAAACTAATTTTTTAAATGCACCTCTTCAGATCACCGAAGACTTAAAAAGGGTAAAACGGTTTAATGCACAAGGGGCCCTTGACTATGGGCTCATTGACAGAGTTATCAGGCCACGCCGCATAGAAGTTGATTCACCGCGCGGATGAAGGTGCAGGCGCAGTCATTGGTTAAGACCTCTTAGTTTACACTCCTTTTATATTTGCAGAACCAGAAATGTTTCACATTTTATTTCCTTAGTCAACTTTGGGGATATGTATAATCTTTGCGTAGTCATATTCTGTTCATATCTTGATGCTCGTTGCTTGAATTCCAACTCTTACTGAATGCACCAATCCAAGGTACCTGTATTGTGAAACTTTACTATGTCTTCTATTTTCTTGCAAACTTATCACAGTACATTCATGATAGACAACTATTACAGCTTTTGCTGGTTTTTTCATGCATGTCTGGATTACTTGAGATGATACTCTTTTGGCTATAATTTTTTTTTTCAATGGAAAATATGACGATTTTCTATATAGTTCAGACTTATGCAATATTGTGGGTTTTATAACTGTGCAACTAGTTTTGTTTACGTTTGATCAATACTTTTCTATAGTAAGTTGGTCTTTGAGTACCCATTCATCTACTATTCATTGTGTACAATTAATCTTAAGTATATAAAAACTGTCCTTGAAAAAAGTTTTACACCATGTGTAGCTTTTGTTTTGTGCATTATACGGGTTGTCTCAATATATCTTTCTTAAACAACTTACAATTTTAGCGACCAGTGTTCCAAATGATTTATACAAAAAGAGAGGAATTCAAAACAAAACAAAAAAATAGGCCAAAGAGGATTTATACATGCTGTTACGTAAGGTTCTTGTAACAAAAAACATTATCCAGTTTTATTACAAAACCAGAAAAAATTGTTGAAATCAAAGACTTGAAATGTCAAAACAAAGTTCACAACATATTGATGTGACAAGAACAAAAAGTATGGCTATTGATGTAGCCACAACATTCCAAAGCAAAATAAAATGTCAACTCTAGTTTCACGGTACATCAACCTATAAACATGAATTTCTTACACTGCTAAATAGACATTGAAAAAGAAAGAAGGAAATAAAATGACAATTTAAATACATTAGATATTGTCATCAGTGTCATGTAATAAGAAAGAAAGAAAGAGAAAAATATAAAGAAAATGAGATAATCTAAATTAATTTAAGTGGGACAACATCTTGACATACTCCATTACAATGACAGAACCTGGTTTAACATATGCTGGTCCTGATACAGAGTTCAATAACCTTAACACAACAAACAAACAAGGAAAAGCGAGACAATAACTAGGAACCCCATTACAGTGTTGTAAGCAGCTAAATACAAATGCATATGTATAAGGGATTCCTTACTAAATTAACCGCCAGGAAGTGACACGTTAATGTCAGAAACAGGCTTGTCCTTCGCTTCCGGCGCCTGCACAGCAGACCAATTATCTCCGCGGAAGGAAGTTACTGATGATAGAATAGGTATTGGATCAAGAGTAGGGATGGGAACAACAGCAGCAGTTGTCACAGTTGATATCACATCGGTTTTCTGATTTCTTGCTTTCTGCTCATGTTGGTTTCCTGCCATAAAACTACCAACCACTACCTGAACGATACATGTTTGAAATAAGAATGATCAGAATCAAATAAACCTGGTGTCAAGTAGTAAATACTAAATCACTAGGTAATGCATGTTGCTAGAAATGGAGTTGTCTCTTATGGATAAAGAAACGCATACCTGCACTGGACTTGCAGCCACCAATAGACCAGCTACTCCTCCACCAACAACATGGCCATCAGGACTTGATAAAGAAACACTCATGCCACCTGATCTGCTTCGTGTTCCTCCGCTATCATTTGGCATGAATGAACCAGATAAAGACAGAATTTCAAACAGTCCCTGTAGAAACAGAAGCAAGGAAGATGATATTTTTACCCATGAAGGACATCACAAGTTTCAGAAGGCTAAGAAAGCAGTAATACTTCAATCAACAACTGAGATATGTAACTGTGCTCTGTGCAAAAGTAATCCAATTCCAGGATATGCTGGAAGAGCTAGGAGAAAATCACTCTTAAACTGTATAGATCATTAAATGCACAATAGAACAATATGAAAGTCTTTGCTACAAGAAGAAATGATACTATAAACTTGCGCAAATGTTTCACCTCATATGTCAATGTGCCCCCAGAAGCATCGGGCTGACGAAGTGTGACACTTTTTATGACACCATTTGCTGAAAGAACGCATAGAGCTCGAGGCCCTTGCTGAGAAAATGATATTACTTTCATAGTAACATCCTAAGATAACCAAAAGAAAAATTGTTGTCAATCACTGGTTAGACTATTTTCCAGTAAAAACAAGTAAGTGATGACACAGTTATTACAGGAAATTATAAATGCTGTCCCTCAATGTCATTCTGTTGATAATTAATCCCTAATTTTAATATCACTTAATTCTACAAAAGACATGCATGTACCGACTTTAGGGTTTAGGGTTTATTTCTTCAGAAACTTACCTCTCCAGTATTAACAGTGATGATGTGAGGTGTGAAATTTGAACTAGTTGAGCAAGGAACCCATTCACCTAAAAAAAAGTTAAAATTTTTCAACAATTAACAATTAAATTACATATGTTAAAAAATCTCGGATTTCAATCAAAAGGCATCTCTAATTTGGATCAAAATAAGAATTTGAATATATAGACCTAAATTACTAGTTAATAAAATGTTAAAACAGCACTATACTATTGTCCTAGAATAGACTAATGGAACTTATAACCAGTAATAAAAAGTTGAATATTTAGACCTCAACACTACACCTATATTGATATTCTAAGATTTGGCCCATCTCAAGACTATGTATCATATTAAGATAGCATAAAATGCACAGGACATGAACCAAACATCAAATTGAAGTTTGAAAGCTTCTGAATAACAAACATAGCCTCTAGTTAACCTAACTTAACTCAGTCGGTAGCTGTGCAGTCAAATGTAGAGCCGTGAGTTCAACCCTGCAACATGCATCTTGTTATTTTTTAAAAAGTGGATTTTGGACCCACAAAGCTAAGTCACCTTTTAGGACTACCGCACATTATCAATGGTCCCACAAATGAGTTCACTTCCACCACATAAGTCAACAACCGATCCCAAAATTTCAACAACACTAACCAAAGAGACCCAAACAAACACAACACAATCCAAAATAGTAACATTTCATACCCAAAATAGTTACTTATCAATACCTATATTTTCCAACTCGAATTTCGCTTTGCTCACTGAGCTAACTGGCCGCACTTTCGCACGCTTCTCCGCCGTGAAATCGATCACCGGCGGCAACGGAGATGAGGAAGATATCGGCTTCGGAGACAGCGCCATCCTCACCGAACCGTCCGTTGCATACTTTCTCGGCCGGCCTCTCTTCTTCTTCTCAGGAACCGTTGTATCTGCCGGAGACACCGTTACCACCGCCGTATGCGGCGGATTCTGCGGCTGAGAATTTCCTTGGACCGCTGTAGTAAACTGAACTGCCGATCCACCGGTTGGAGTTTGGTTGTCGGTTCTCGGTGCTACATGGTACTCCGGCGGAGCATCCGATCCCACCACCGTAACGCCACCACTAACACCGCCACTAGCCTCCATGTTATCAAACAGTTATTAACTTCAATTTCTCATTATTTTCTTCAAACTTCACTGCTATACTGGTAAATATTTTTTCCAAAAAAAAAAACAGATGAAAAACTTAAAACTAAAATTTAAACTAAAAGATTGAAAAACTAAGCATAAATTTGCACCATTTGCATAAATTTCATCGTTAAAAAAATTGCAGGGGAAAATTCTAAAATTTTAAAGAGAAAAAATAATAATCTGGTTTTGAGAAAATAGAAGGAAAATAAGAAAGAGTGAAATTTGAAATTTTGGAGTTTCCAAAGGAAATGAAAATGCCATTTAATAAAATGTCCTAACTTTCCTAAGTGTGTCCAAATTGAGATTAAAAAATTAAACAGGAAAAGGAGAGATATACTGAACAGGGTATTAAATTATTATTTATATGAATTAGTATTAAATAAATGAATAATATTTAACATAAATAATTATTTGGATATGGTTGGAATCTGGTGGAGAAATATATAAAATAATTTTAAAGTTGTTGGGAGGGCTTTCTTTTTCTTTCCCCATTTTAAAATTATATTTTGCGGAAATGGGAAAAATAAAATAGAGAATAAAAATCACCATACATGTTACTTATCATATGGGATTATTATTATATTAGATTAGATTAGATTAATGGTAAAGTAAAATAGGGTTGCCTAAAAATAAAGAAATTGTGTTGGAATGGAAAGGAAAACTTTGGCTTTTTGTTTTTTCACGCTTAAGCAAAATAAATAATTATTTATTTATGAGTGGGATTAATTGTAAAGCAAATCATTCATAAATTGTGTCACCACTTAATTTGAGAGGAGATATATACACTATGAATGAATCAACAAACAAGTACTAGTAGGTAGTGTAGCATACACAAAGCATATAGTATTAAAGCGTTTGCTTCTTCCAAGTTCCACTATTTTTCCACCACAAATGACTTATTTTTCAAAGTCCTACTCTGCCTAATTATTGACCTCATACATTTTTAGTTTTTCTATTTTGATTTTTTAAATTTTTATTCCCCATTAAAAAGTTTAGTCGTTTAATTTTTTTATTTAACTTTTTTAGTCTCCTTTTGTGAAGAAATTTTGACGTAGTTAAATGCTTTTATTTAAAAAATGAAAAAAAATTCAAAATATTTGTAACATATTTTTAATTAGACATAATTATTAAAGTGATATTAAAACAAAACAAACAAAACATTATAACATTATATCATCGTGTTAATTTATCTCTTTTTTTTATGATTCTTAATTTTAAATTTTTTTTATGATTCTTAATTTTATCAATGAAGCATATTCGTTCAATTATCTCTGTTTATTTTGTTGTCTGCTTATCATTAAAAAATGGTTAAATATCATTTTTGGTCCCTTAACTATACTCTTAAGTTTAGATTGGTCATTTAATTATTTTTGTGTCAGATTGGTCATTTGACTCTTTAAAACGTGTCATATTGGTCATTTTCGTCTAATTAGCGACAAAAAAATTTAAAAAATTTGTCGCTAATTAGACAAAAAGGATCAATATGACACGTTTTAAATAGTTAATGGACCAATCTGACACAATATAATTAAGTGACCAATCTAAACCTAAGGATAAAGTTAAGGGACCAAAAAAGATATTTTGCCTTAAGAAATATATCATTATTGTTCTTCGTTATTCAAAAAGGTGTTTACGAAATCTAACATTGAAGAAAACATGAAGGTCAAATGCGATCAATAATCCTTTCGTGTCATTAAAAACAACGAAGAAGCAGAATTTTGTCTGAGGTATGTGATATAATATTTTTTTGGGGGTTTAGGATTTAGTAAAATTTTGAAATCTAAAGTGAACATTTATTGTTTTTGTTGTGGTCTGTAATACCTCATATTCTCTTAAATGTTCAATTAGATATCAGTTGAGGTTAACTGAGTTCTTATGTACTCTATCTTTTGTCAGTTGGAATAATTAGAACTCCTAAGCGTCTGATTGTTGTCAATTGAGATTAATAGAGTAACTGATAAACTCTGATGAGATCAATTATTGATAAAAGGGACAGACCAATATTAATAAGTATAAGAGAGGATATTTTGATAACTCTAATATTTGGTCAATTGTGTTGGATGACAAAATATCAAATGGAGATATTTTACACTACTATATATTATACATTATGTTTTTTATATATATGATTTATGGGAAAGAAGTTAGTAAGGAAAGAAAGAAGAAAAGAAAGAAGTTAGTAAGGAAAGAAAGAGGAAAAGAGAAAGAATAAAAGAGAAATGGAAGAGAAAAAGAAGAACTCATGAAGGAGGCAGAGGAAACTCATCATCATTCATCTCCGTCATCAATCTTCTTCATCAAAGGTGAGTTTTTTTAGTTAGTATAGCTTTCGAGGAAGAATATGAAAACACTGATGGGTTAGGTTTTGTGTTAAAGTTGAATTAAATGTTGTGTTCATGATGATTTTATGAAATTCATGCTATACTATGTTTATTTGGGTGATTGTATGCTTCATGGACACGTGGCTATGATTTTTGGCCATGGATGCTTTCATTTTCACGTTGTTGAGTTTCTGAATTTCACATGTGTCGCACAACAAGTTGAAAGCAATCTGCAACTCTGCTACAGTCACACAACGAGCTCGTAGTGAGCTGTAGGCGAGCCTACGTCTTGCGCTCCCATAACGACCACTGAGGCAAAATGTTTCTGCCTCTTCCTCGCCCAGAGCTCGCATAGTGAACTCAAGGCAAAGCGACCTCGCTTACCTGTCGCACAGCGAGTCTGGCAAGATTTGTTCCTTTTGTTTGTTTAGTTGCCTGGTTGTTCATATGCATGTTCAATTGTATCATGAATTATTTTATGTTGATCATTATGAGTGATATGCATGCTTACTATGATTGATTGATTGAATAGTGATGACTTGATGTAATCATGAAATAATATGTAATGTGTGAGAATGAACTCCATGGGGAATGGAAAGATAATACCAAGGGGATATTAAATGGTGATGTAATACCATGAGTGAACCAAAGACACTTGGTATAAGATAGTATTGGCTTGAATGTCTTAATTTGTATGTGAATTCCTAGGTTGAGATGTTGTGTTATCATATATGTGTTTCATGTATGAATGTTGATTGTGTGATACCATGATTAAAAGACTATAAGGATGGTGAGAATGTTGATTGTGTTGATATTAACTAATGTAATGAATTAGTAAAGTGATTAGGACATAATGAATAAAATTAGATGGTAATGCTTGTGTAATTGATACCTAGGTGTGTATCTTTGACAAGTAATTGTCTAATGGAGAGGAGAGAAATTATATGGAACACGTGAGGGTTTTGTGTTACTTGAGAATAAGGCGAATGTGTTGCCTTGTGATTGTCGAATACAATCACATATGTGTATGCGATCACGTAATCGAAAACAACCCTTGAGATGTGCCACTCCAAGAGTTGAGGCTTATGTAGAGCGCTTCTTTAGAGTGCACAAACTGTTACTTTGATAGATATGATTCTCATGAGTACTACGAATAGAGCCTACGGGTAAAATGCTTGAGATGGGAAGGGTCTCATGGGAAGCAACGATTCATGTGGAAAGAACCTTGAATCCGAATCCATTTTGAAGATTGAGAAACACAAGAAAGGGGGTTTAAATTGAGTTTCACATTTTGTCCTCTTTTGTGAAATTAAAATAATAAATATAACAATGATAATAAAAATAATGACACCGTTATTTTTATTCTGGTTCACTGTTAACGAAGTTACTCCAGTCCACCCCTCAAGGTGATTTCACCTTATCACAATGACTTAATCAATAATCATCAACGATTACAACCATAATGGATACCTTTCATTTCCTACTTGAAAATCCTGGCATTCATTCGCCTTTCAAGGAATTAAACTCCAAGCCGTCAACAACGACCTGACCCTCTCAAGCATTCTGCTCATCACTCGACCGCTCAAGAAACAATACATTTTTCAAGGATTTTATTATGCACTAGTATGCTTCTTATAAGTTGATTACACAGATGAAATACATGAACACCTAAGTGTTTCTAAGTAAGATATGAGCAACAAATCCTTGCTTTCTAATACAGAAAATTATCTAAAGAATGAATCTCTCAGAGATTATAAAACATTAGTTATATATTGCTTAGAAGCTTTCTTGATGAGCACTAAGGCTTCTTTTATGAGCTTTTAGCTTCTTTTGATTAACTCCTTCTTGAGTGAATAATACTTCTTCCAGTTTAACTATCAAGATCAATTAAGTTACTATGTTTCACTTATTGATGTTTCATTTGACTAGTTTCACATGACTTCAGCATGTTGCATCACTGTACGCACTTCAATTTGCTTTAGCTTCGTCTTCATTGAGCATTCTTCATTTAGGCTTCAACTTGTAGCATTTTGTTCTGCATTTTGGCTTCGCATAGTAGCGTGCTACCGTCAGCAACTCACTATCTATTATTTGCAAAACTAAAATTCTTCAAGCTTCTTGATCTTCAATTTATAGAGCTTGAGAGAATAGATCTGCTGAAGGGTATTCTTGGAAACATATTCCAACAACAATATCCCAACGTTCAAGTGAAGGAATGGCCAACATCATTGTACAAAAAGTTGCTCCTGCGCCACCTTTTCGAGGTAAAGGTAACATAGTTTTAGTACTATTATATTTAACTTAAAAAGCATTCTTATCTTCAGTCTTCTAGCATATTCAGAGGCTTCAAATATTAACTTGATGAAGCGTGTTGTAGAAGAGTCTTCTTTGTGTAATCTTCAGAACCACAATCTTTGGAATCTCAGATCTTTGTTCAGCAGAACCTTATCATAAGAATCCTCAACACTTGGTTTCTTAGAAGTATTATCTTCGGAGTCTTTAGAACTTATTCTATCAGAACCTCATCTTCAGATTCTTCAGATTTTATTAAGCGCACTTTTGTCTTCAGAGTCTTCAGCACTTCGTTCAATTAGAACCTTGTCTTTAGAAACTCTTCAGAGCTTAATCTTTAGA